TGGGGGTCCCGACCCCTCGGGCGGGAGCGCCGCCGCGCTTCCCAAGCGGCGCACTATCCAGTGCGCCACCGGGCCGGCCCAACCTTGCTGTGTTATAACTCTTTATCTTACAACAGAGACTAAATAGCCTGGGGAAATTTTTCTGTTTTTTGTAAGGTCAATATTTGAAACTGCAAGGCTTTGGAAAACCAGGCCCTGTGAAGTATGTTTGCTTTATGGATACTATACATAAAGTTAATAATATTCTGTGTCCAGATTCTATTATTTGAAAGTAAGTCCAGTTTATACTCAAGGGGAGGGGAATTAAACTCTACTTCCTGAGGGAGTAGAGTATCTATATATATTGTTTGAATTTCTTCTGTAAGAAAGATTTATTTATTAAGTCATTTACTTGTACAGACTCGTGTATATATAGCTTATACTTTGATTATAATTCAATAACATTATGTACTTTATTTCCCAAATTGTTCCAGCTTTGCCCATTGGAAACTCTTCTACACTAGCTCCTGTGTCCTTTACCTCCTTTTTTCTATTTCTATTTTTTAGCACTGCCTTAATTTCAGCACCGAAGTGGTGCCGGTAAGGAAAACCAAACACATGCCAAGGACTGGACCCAGAGGAGAGGGTGGTTGGAAAGGGATGTGGAACAAAGGGCCTGAGCTCCAAGGCCAAAGTCAGAGACTTAGGAGGCCAGGAGGGGGTGTTGTGGAAAGTCAAGGTATTTTAACTCCCTGAGGAGTCCTGTGTCATCCAGAACAGTGAACCATGGGGTGAAATGGACCATTCTGCTGCCTCTCCAAGGTTCTCCAACTCCCTGGCTTACTACGGCCTGGCCATGGACCTGCAGAAGTTTGGGCTCAGCATATACCTGGTGCAGGCTCTGTTTGGTATCATTGACATCCCGGCCATGCTGGTGGCCACTACTACCATGATTTATGTGGGCCGCCGGGCCACCGTGGCCTCCTTCCTCATCCTGGCCGGGCTCATGGTGATTGCCAACATGTTTGTCCCTGAAGGTGAGTCATCTGCTTCTGCCCTTACCGCCCACCAAGACGCACAGATGCAGGGTTCCCAGGAGAAGTGGGAGCCTCTGGGGTCTGCTGGGCAACATTCCACAATGGAACAAGGAGAGGGGTCTTTTTCTGGATCTGGAAAGAAAGTGACTCTCAGTTGTCAGAGTTTTTATTAAGCATTTAGGGCCTAGTGTCAGTGTGGGGTGGAAGATCTACACAGGACATGAGTCTTTGTCCTCAGAACATTTGCAGTCCTATCAGGGAGATTAGACAAATGTACACAGAACAGCTGGACAGCCGAAGTGCTGGCTGGTGTGGGGCCACATGGAGTTGGGCCACATGGAGTTGGGCAGGCAGAAAGTCCACAGTTAGGATTCGAACTTCAGCCGGGCTGGCCCTGGAACAATGGTTTGCAAACCTTCAGGATTTTAAAAACTGCCCAGTGATTCTAACAAGAAGCCAGGGTTCGATATCAGTGATCTAGAGCATGTGCTAAACCATGTGCCCAGGCATGACTCCGGCTTTGCCACCACGGCTGGGCAGGTTGTCTAACTTCTCTGTGCTTCAGTTCCTCCCAGTAAAATGGATAGATGCTATTACCGGTATTTTGACGTATTTTCTTCCAACCTTTTTCCTGTTAATAGATTTTGAGTTTGACATAATCAAGATCATATTTTATATGTTTGCATATACAATAATGTAAATAGTATTATATACACCTACGTATATATGTGCATGTGCACATATATCTAATTTATATTCTTTTTTTTTTTTTGGTGGCTGGCTGGTATGGGGATCCGAACCCTTGACCTTGGTGTTATAACACCACACTCTAACAAACTGAGCAAGCCGGCCACCCCTATCCTTTTCTCTTTATACATTGTAACATGAACATGCTTTTCTGCGGTAGTACAAATGTTTCATGGGCCTGATTTTTTATTACTATATAATATTTCATCTAGATTGGTGTTTCTCAACTCTGGCTGCACATTAGAATCTCCTGGGGACCTTTAAAAAAATACCCAAACTTGAGCCCATCCCCATATGGAGTAGGGCACAGGTATGGGTGTTTTATAAAATCTCCCCACCTGATTGCGGTGTGCAGCCAGGGCCACCAATCTGAGGAGGTGCCATAATTTCCTTGACCACCACCTCCAGAGGGACATTTGCATTGTGGTTCTGCTGTTTATCAACAACAGCAGGACAAGCATATGTTAATGATGGTAACAGCATGCACTTCACGAGCACTAAGCACTGTGCACTCAGGACATCGTGTCCAGCTTATGACAATCCCGTGAAGCAGGTGCTGGAATTTTCCTCATTTGACAGATGAGGACAGGGAGGCTCAGAGAAGGTAAGTAACAGTGGCCAAGGTCCCCCAGCTGGGTCAGAGCTGAGATCTGAACCATGCCTGACTCCGGAGCTTGAACGGGCCTCCCCAGCAGGACTTGGTGACAGATGCAGATGAGGGAGGAAGAAGGCGGAAGTCAGAGAAGGGCAGTTTGGGGACTCTTGGATCCCAGCAGGAACATGAGGTGGTGGAAATCCCGGTTCTCTTCTTCGGGTTCCGCGCCCCCAGCCCCCCACAGTGCTGCCTCCCCTCGCCCTGTCTAGACATGCAGACCCTGCGCACGGCCCAGGCGGCGTTGGGCAAGGGCTGCCTGGCCAGCTCCTTCATCTGCGTGTACCTGTTCACGGGGGAGCTGTACCCCACGGAGATCAGGTGGGCACCAGGGGGTGGGGGGCACTCCAGGTGGAGACCAGCTGGGCTCCCCCTTCCATCCTTTCTGCTCCCACTGACACCTGGGGCCCCGCACTCCCGACCCCTGGGGGGTCCAGGCCACCTCGCGGACCCGTCCACACGCCTCCCACAGGCAGATGGGGATGGGCTTCGCCTCGGTCAGCGCCCGCCTCGGGGGCCTGGCGGCGCCCCTGGTCACCACACTCGGGGAGTTCAGCGCCGTCCTGCCATCTGTGGGCTTCGGGGCCACCTCCATCCTGGCCGGGCTGGCCGTCTGCTTCCTGGCCGAGACCCGCAATGCACCCCTGGTGGAGACCATCGCGGCGATGGAGAGGAGGTGAGGGTCCTGGCACGGTGGGCTGCGGCGGCCACAGGCTGCGGGTTAACTGGGATCCACTGGGGGCGAACAGGACCTTCCGCCATGGCTGGGCCCGCCAGAGCTGCCCTGGAAAGATCTATCTACACTGGCTCAGCTCCCAGCAGGAGCAGACCCAATAACGAACGTGGAAGAGGAAGAATAAACCATAGACCAGGAAACATGGAAACGAGGGATGGAAGCAGGCCTGGCAGAGAAGTGGGGAGCGGAGAGGTGCCTGCAGTTTGAAGCAATGACAGGCCTACAGGGTTGTCACACAGGGCTTCGAATTTGGCTCTGAGCTTCCAGGCAGCAGAAAGAGAGATCCGTGAATGACTTAGTTCTCCTTGTCCAGAGGTGGAGGAACAACAGTTCCTCAGGGAAAGTGAAGCTTTTTTTAGCAATCAGCACTAGGAAAAATTTCTCTGGTGGTTCTCCTTAGAGAGGTCACTGAGGAAGGTGACAGCAATGTCCTGGACAATGTTTCTGAAATAAACACGCAAGGGGATTTGGTCTGGCTGCTTCTCACAGCACTTCTCAGCAGCAGTGGGCTCAGTGAAGACCCTCAGTTTGGGGGACTGGGGACAGGAAGGCAGCAGGCCCCAAGTGTGCAGCCTTCTCTAAGAGTCCAGCTTGAGACCAAAGTTGGACCCATCTGTACCCAGAGGCCTGTGTGGGTGGTCTGTGTTCACCACCCTTAAATAATCGCCCCTAGACATCCCGTCTCTAACCTGAACCACGGCCAGAGGGCTGGGCTGCGCATGGGTCAAGGATATATCCTTTGGCGAGTCCTGTCAGTTCTGCCTCCAAAATATGTTTTAAGTCTGTCCATCTCTCTAAAACCCTGTGGCCATTGCCCTGCTCCAAACCACCATCATCCTGGACAACCCCAAGAGCCTCATCTCTTCCCCTGTCCCATTCCACTCTATGGTCTGCCCAGCAGCTAGTGTGGCAGGCTCATGACACAAATAGGGTCATGTCACTGCCCTCCCCTCCTGACAACCCTTCAATGGCTCCCTTTTGCATGGAGGATAAAATTTGAAATCTTTCAAGGCCCTCGTGATCTGGCCCCCACACACCTCACCACAGTCAGCCTGGCGACCACCTAGGCTAGTCCCTCTGTCTGGAATGCCCTTTCCTTTGCTTTTACCTGTTTGACTCCTCCTCATCCCCCAGGTATAGGTCTAGGTGTCCCGGGTGCTGGGTAAATATTTGTCGATAACCCAATGCAGAGCCTGGTTTGCACGTTCTCTGAGATGTTGCCTGAGGGACCCGAGTACACGGAAAAACAGTTGGAGAAATGCCCTCCCAACTATTACTGAAAGAGCCACCAAGTTGGTTCCGGCCTGGGCAGTTTTCAGTGGCTTCCCTCTGCACGGTTCTCAGGCTCTGACTCCCCTCCACATCAGGCCATCCCCTGCACGGACATTCTCTTCACCCCACTAGGGCCCTGACACCCCAGGCCAGGCCACCCCCATATGGGGGCACCCTCCCCTCCCTGCCCCAGCACTGACACTGTGCTTAGCCACACCTCCACAGCTGAACTCCCCTCACCTGCTCGAGCTCTGACTCCCCTTACCAGGCCACTCGCTGCATGGACGCCCTGCTCTCCCCTCCACGTGGACATCTGCTCGGCACCATGTACTGGCTCTAGGATTGAATTATTCAGGAAGAGAACGGAAGAAGAAAAGCTTTTCATGTAGTTTTGATGACACAGGCTGTCATCCCCATAAACAGATGAAGTACAATCCCCTGACCTCCCCTGTCCCCAGCCTCCTGCCCCCCTAGATCCTTTTCACAGATTTCCCCTTGGGATTAGAATGTGTGGAACGGACATAAAGGTAGACTAGCCACTCCCAAAGCCTAATCGCAGCTTATGTAAACTTTTGCACAAGAAATTTAAATCTGCAGTTTATTAAAGAAAAAAAAAACCCAGGCATGGTGCTTATCTAGCAAGCAGCACAAACAAACGGGCCAGTGTCTTGTGTAGACACCAGCAGGAGCAGGTCCAGATGGAGCCATGTCCTGAGGGCCATTAGTGACCATTGGCTGGCAAGGCTTGGAGAGTCCTGGAGGCCAAGGATTTTACCTGGTGTTTGATTTAGGCTTTTAGAAATCTAATTCATTTATTTAGTTATTATTCATTGAGTTCCTACTATGTGCCAGACACAGCACTAAGTGTGTGCTGTACAGTAAACAGAATAGATGTGATCTCTGCCCTCTTGGAGCTTACAGAGTAAGGGAGACACCTAGAGAAGAAATATATACAAATAAATGTAGAATTAAGAGAGAATATGTGGGGGGCCGGCCTGTGGCTCACTCGGGAGACTGCGGTGCTGATAACACCAAGGCCATGGGTTCGGATCCCATATAGAGATGACCGTTTCGCTCACTGGCTGAGCGTGGTGCTGACAACACCAAGTCAAGGGTTAAGATCCCCTTACCGGTCATCTTTTAAAAAGAAACAAACAAAAGAGAGAGAGAATATGTGGGTGGTTGCGGATGCTTCTAGACTTAGCCTAGAGTTAAATGAGGGGGCAGAGGAGTTAGCCAGGCTGAGAAGGGAAGGAGTGTGTCCCTTGAGGTCCCTGAGAACTGGGAGGAGCCATGTGGCAGTCAGACGTGAACTTGCAAGATGGGGCTGAGAGGTGGGCAGGGGCAGCCTTAGAGACCACGCTGAGAATTTAAGCTTTTATTTTAACGCAATGGAAAAAGCACTGCAGGACTTGGAGGAAGGGATTGACGTGGTCTGACAACATTTTTGAAAGACCTTTCTGTCTCCTTAGCATTATTAAATGTCGGCTTCAATGGGGTCTCAGCCTAAGATCTAGGCATTTAAGGCAGTTGCTTTAGGACAGTATTTCTCAACCTCTTTACATCACCACCCCTCTAAAAGCCTTTTTAGACTTTTGTTTTCTTTTCCTAATCACACCCCTCCCACCCCTGCCTCAATAGAATTCTAATACTAAGATATACTGTGTATCTGTTTGTGTATGGTGGCCTTTGGGAAGGCCACAAACCATTGTAGTATCTGAAACTTTTTGCCCTCCAAGAAACGGGTTTTGCCCTCTTGGGGACAATGTCACCCCCATGGAGAAGGCTTATTCTAAAACGATGATCCTATGTTCCAACAGCCTAAGGACTCCTTGCAGTTACGATTTTCAGAACTCCAAGAAGTAACCATCAGATTCACATTTATTATGTCCTCGTGTGACCTCTTGGGTGTTCTGGTTCATAGGCTTCTTCATTAACCTGACCAGGGTTCCTCTTGACGGTTCTTGTCCAACCACACGTGAGACAGAAACAACTCAACTAGCTGGAGTTTGGTAGAAAACCACGATGCTGGGGCAGGGGAGGAGAGAACCCCTGTCTCAAGAGCCACTCCCGTGCAGTGTCAGATGTCCGGACAATGCGAATTCAAATGCTCCTCAGTCCATCTCACTTTTCACAATTTCTAATCTGATCAGATGTCCGGGTGCCGATCGCAGGACTGCCAGGTCAAGGATTAAGACGAGAAGAAAATCCCCCCGATGGCGGTGAGCTGGGAGGGGTCAGCTCTAATCACCTCCTAGCACTGGTTCCTGAGGGGAGGGTGGGTTTCCCCCAGACTGATTTCATGGGACAACAAAAACCACCTGCCAATTATTTATTTCTATGTAAATTGCCAGGTCCATCACGAATCATGAGACCAAGTGCTGTTGCTTTACAATGGTCTGAATGCCTGATGTGCTCCTGAGGTGGGCCCGAGTGACCCAGTTAGGGTTTTGCTGCGGTTTGTTAGAGCCACACTGCAAAGGAACAGCCGATGAACCGTGCAAAAAAAAAGTGAGAACAGAATATTCACAAAGGAGGAACTATAAACAGGAAGCAGAAAAAATAAAAGTATCCACCTCAGTGAGAATCAAAGAAATGCAAATTAAAAAGTGAGAACAGAATATTCACAAAGGAGGAACTGTAAACAGGAAGCAGAAAAAATAAAAGTATCCACCTCAGTGAGAATCAAAGAAATGCAAATTAAAACAGGGAGCTATCATTTCTAAATATTCAGTAAGGAATGATTTGAAAATATAGTAATGCAGGAGCATGTGGGGGGGGCGGGGGAGGAGACCCCTGCAATCTTTCTGGAAAGTTCTTTGGCATTAATGGTCATGAGCTGTAAAATTTTTCATATTCTTCCAAGTAGCAATGATATTTCTATGAGTTAGTCCTAAGAAAATAAGCCGAAATGTGGACAAAGTTTACGTACAAAGATAAACATGACTGTGTTTAATGTATCAGGAAAAATGTAAACTGTCAAAACATCCAACAGTTTAAACAAATTATGATACATCGTGCAATAGTTAAAAGTTGTGTTAGAAAGGGGAATGTTAGGGCTGGCTCGTGACTCACTCAGGAGAGTGTGGTGCTGATAACACCAAGGCCACGGGTTCGGATCCCATATAGGGATGGCCGGTGGCTCACTTGGGAGAGCGTGGTGCTGACAACACCAAGTCAAGGGTTAAGATCTCCTTGCCAGTCATCTTTAAAAAAAAAAAAGAGTGGGGAATGTTTATACACACTGTTAAGTAGTATATTCAAATGACTTATGACATTTTCTTAATTACATCATGAAGGAGAAAAAGAAATATGTCAACATGGTGATGGTGCTTGGCTCAAAGTATGGATGATATTTTTTCCTGGTTGCTTTGCATTTTTAAAATTACCTCCAAATCATCTATACCAAGCAGGTTTTCTTTGGCCATCAGGGAAAAAATAAAACATAATTTTTAAATATTATTAGAATTCAATTAGGCAGTTTCTCAGCCACAGGGTAGCCCTCTTCAGGCCGACAAGCTAGAGAAGGAGGTGGGAAGAAGGCAGTGTCCCCAAAGCCTGAGATGGCAGTGTCCCCAAAGCCTGAGATGGCAGTGTCCCCAAGCCTGGATGGCAGTATTCCCAACACCTGAGATGGCAGTGTTCCCAACGCCTGAGATGGCAGTGTT